ACTTTCCTGATTCCTACCCAATATCTTGTTCACTTGGGTGTGTTTTTCAACACTTCCCTTAGTCAGGCCCAACCTTCTTCACTTCATCTGTATTCGATGGAGCTTTCAATTCTCCATGCCTTTTTCCTCTCCATCTCTTTCTTTGTGTGAGTTTCTATCACTTTTGGGGGCTTGTGCTTCCATGGCAGCCATTATCTCCTTAGGTCATGCACATATGCATTTTCTTCAGCAGACATTGTGTGACAAATGGAATCTTGCTTGGGATCCCTTAAACTTCCTACTTACCGTCCCTCCTTCCATTCTAGATGATCTCTGTTGGTGGTTAAAACAGCAGGAAGCTTCTGGACAGTGGTCTCAGCTCGAATGATCCTACCATATCAACATCTTAGAGCCTCTTGTGGTACAGCATGCTATGGATGATTTTATTCCTATGGTATGGAACAAACATGTCATGATCCATTCAGACAATTCCACTATTGTCTCCTATGTCAATCACCTAGGTAGCAACCATTCTCATTCCCTTTGTGGCCAAACATTGGAACTTATTTATTTGTCCCACATGCTGCTGGTAAATCTCATTGCATGTCATGTTCCAGGTGCTTTCAATCTCGTGCTGGATCATCTTTTTTGGCCACATCCAATTTAACACACCCCTTGACTCTCAGGTTGACTCTCCCTTGACTCTCTCTTTTAATAGATTTACATCTTATACATTCATTTTGAGAGTGTCTTATACTCTATTTTAGTAACTTTTGATCTTCAAGCTTCAACCTGATTCATTTCAAACCCTTGTTCAAATTTATTACTGATGAGTAAAGTGTTTGCAGGCCTTTATCATTCTTATTGATACATACAAGATGTTCCACTTTAATCTGCTGGGCATTATGCAATTTTTTCATCAACTTAAAATATATGTTGTTGAGAAATAATCTTCTAGCTTACAAACAGCTTCTACTTTAAGCTAATTATCAACATCAGTTAGTCATATGGTATGTTGCTTTGTGATCAGTTAGTACATTATCCACATTTTAAAACCTCATATAGCTTGTAACAGGGTTCACAACTTATTTATTACAAGGTGTGACACATTTGAGTGTTATTTACAATATCAAGATAAATGACAGATTCTCCTAGTGACATTATCAGTTCCTTGTTCAGTAGTCATTAACTTATTTTAAATTGCTTGAGGTGATATTAGAAATTTAAGGAGTAGTTTATGCTAAACTACTAGTGTGGCTTGCACCTTGACTTTTGTGGGTCTGTTTTTGTTTAACAAACGAGGTATGGCTTAACGGTTAGTATGTCAGGCTGTAGACCGAAGGATGCAAGGTTCGGAACATGATGCTCTGAACACATTTCTTACTTTTTAACCATGAGCTGAATTTAAAAGTGAAAGTAAATTTTGTAATCTCATTGTTTATTTTAAAGACCAGGGCAAAGCCCTTGTGGCAGTGAGTACTCCTGGTTATGTTCCTTCTATCCAGTGTTTCAAAATTAGAGATGGCTGTACCTGAACCTTAGAGGTCTCTGACCTTGCCATATAGGTGCACATAAAGTGCCATTAAAGTTGAAAATTCTTGTTGTTATTCTGTTTACATGTTAATTTTTATGCTTTACAAGATGTTGTTACAATATATCCACATTTTATATGAATAGTTTATTGTACACTCTATTCTAGATCCATACTTGTCCTTCTGTTGTGTTGCTTACTGTTTCTAATTTTTAGCTGCAGCCCAAATCAGTAGGTTCAATTGATTTTGTAAATATTACTTCAGAAATTTTGGTTCCATCAGACAACTGTTCAGAAATGATGGTTTATTTGTAATGCATCTTGGTTTGCTTCTTTATTCCACAGCTAGACTGTAATGGTTTGGTTATTTCATCAGATTATAGTTTGTGGTACAGGAGTCTCAGTAGCTTTTCTTGTCTATCTCTATACTTCAACTGTCCTTCAAACCTTTAGGATTTTTGATTTTTCTTTTTAACCTGAGAAGACTAGTTTTAGCTTTAATCCACTCAAAATTGTTTAAATTATAAGTTCTTGAAGTATTTCCTATTTTATATGTGCTTTTAAAGTAATATAAGTCTTTTCTTGTAGGGAGTTTTCCTAAGAAGTTTAGGTCATGATGAAGTAATGTTATTACTTTCTCTGTTAGTGTCAGTTGATTATCCAGCACTGTCAGGACTGTGTGATGCTATATATACTCACACTTGTCCATTATTCCATTTTTTTTTAGCCTCATATGTGAAGTCGTTCATACAAAGTTTGTATACACCTTTAGTTACAAGTTAACCCATTTCTTTATATCTTTCCATATTAGAGTTTAACATATGGTGAAAATATGAAGCATGACTCACTTAATTAGGCATCTAACAGATTTTTACAGATGGAATACATTTGAAAATATTTCTTTGTACAAGCATTTAGATACATGTATCTCCACATCTCTTTGTGTTGGTGATGCTCACTTCTATGTTTCCACTCATATATCATATGTAACTTCTGGTGAGTGTTTTATAGAGCTTAATATATGTATACTTTAATCTCAAACATTTTATATATATATATATATATATATTGCAAACCATGGTGTCTTTCCAAGCATTAATCTGTCTCCTGTTTATGTCGTAGGCTTCCTGCACTGTGTCTGAAAAACTGCACACACAGCCAAAGCTCAACATTCACTTTTGAAATGACAGGAGAACAGGCACGAATAATTTTGATGCCAAATTTTATTTCACAAGTACAATATTCTACACTAAATTCTTAGGAATTAATCACACTATCATTCACATTTCAAAATGTGTTGTAACTTAAAGAATAAAAGTGTACATTTACTGTATGTTATTGTTGAGCAGCTCTTAGCATGACTGAAATGCTCAACAATTACTTTATGCGGTGGGCAGTATAAGTAGCTCAGAGCTTTGGCTTTGAGTGAAACGCAATTAGATTAACTTAAATAGATAGATTAACTTAAACTTTTCCTGTCACTTGAATGGGTACTTTAGCTTGTATTTGAATACTCGACAGAACTACATTTGAGACATTAGTAACTTCTCCAGGAAGTACTGCACTGTTGTACCTAGCTATAGGAGTAGAGTTTGAATGTACTCTTCATTTTCATTTGAGTATATTTAATATTTTTGTAACCCATTGGGTTTCTCTTGAGACCATCTGTAAATATGTAAATATTTTTTGACACATTGTATGAGCATCTTTCTGTATAGGATAAGTCCAGAATTTTCTTCCACGGTTACTCCTGTGTATTCCTTAAAGGTATATACTAAACAGTGGTATTCTCACCTACAAGCTGCCCTTTACAGTTTTACTGATGGTCAGCCACGTAATCACTCCTTTTTTTAGGGTGGGTGTGATGCATGTTGCCATAATATAGCTTAATTCATTTGTAGGCCACTGAATTTTTTTATTTTTTTATCTCTGTTAGAGTGATAGTTTTCTATTTACTGTGGTCCTTCCTATACATCTAAGGATTCTATCTTCAAGTATACACATTTTCTATGAAATATATATTTTATAAATAAAATGTATTCAAATACTTGTGTAAGTATCACCCCACATTTCACTCCACTTTGAAGAAATGTGACCATAAATGACATGGGTTATGCAAGGTTGAAATCAGTTACTGGTACAACATGATGACATAAGAAAAACACAAATCTCATTAATAAATGGAAAATAAAGAAAATATTAGATAGTGTCAAAAATAAATAGAAGTATAAGTAATTATTGAACCATTAATGAGATCATTTCATTCGTAACTTCTTTTTTTACACCAGTTGTTTCAAAAAGCTTAGATTTCTGAAGTGTATTTTACTATAATAGATGAATAAAAACAGTGTAAAAATGTATTTATATCTCTTATTTTTCAGTCCATGGAAATATACATTTCTTATTAAATCACTCAACCTACAATAGATAGATATCAAAATTCTCACAGCTTATATAAAATATACAGACCTTTAAATGAATTATTATGATTAAACCTTTAGAACTTACAAATTGATCAGTAGCAAAAGTTACCCTTTGAACTGAATTAATATGTAAAAAATATGTGCATTCTTTAATTGTAATCTACATATATATATATGTGTGTGTGTGTCTGTGTTTTTGCATGAAAAAATGTACATAATGTGGAGATGTTTATTACAGGGGCGAGAAGAAGGTAATATGCAATAAGTTTGTACAGCAAAGTGCAGTAACTACCCTAATCTGGCCTCTCGAAGGACCAGTTGTCTATGGCTTAGCAGATGGAAAGGTATGTGAGTTTTGTATACCATATATCTATATACTTTGGAAACAGATTTTATTTTCTTGTATGCTGTGCTATTGTCATTTATAGCACTATTTTTAATAATTTTAGTAGATTTGTTTGATCTCTCACAGATTTTTTAGAACTCTTTGTGTGTGATCAATAATTCATGTTTAGAAACTTAAAAATATGAACTTGGGCTTGGCCTGTGTAATTTACCTATATTATAAAAGCTCATAAATTACAAATTAAAATACAGTATACTTAAATTCAACATATTGAAAGTTCTTTTAGGTAATATAAATAGTGCTTCACTTTCTGTAACCTTTTATTTTCTCCAAAACCATGTGAAACAAATAAAATATAAGTTGTACCATTACAAAGGTAAAATAATATTACACAGAAAATTGAACTGTGATTTCTGTCCATCAGTCTTGTTTGATATCACCATTACTAGTACTATGTGAAAGTGGTACTTCTTGTACAGGGCTCAGCACAACCTTTGATGACCATGTGTTCTGAAGGGACACCTAGTCTTTTTTTTAAGTGTCCCAAATACAGTTTGAAGTGACCATATATTGACTTGCCCAGAACTACTTTATTGAAAGAGCAATCTGTTGCTGAAGTTAAGCCAACACTAAGTTAGGCTACCATTACCACCAACACCATTTTTTTATCCTCTTCTGCTTCCTTATGACTTTAGCCTACTACTGCATGATGAAAAGCAATAAACAAAATTAATCAAAACTTTTTGAGTGTTTTTGATGGCCTTAAATGTTTAAAAGTGAGAATCATTAGATAGCAGTGAAATAATTGATTTTAAAGAGTTTAATGAATTGAAATGGTCTCTTCAGAATGTTTATAATCTAATAATCACCCCTCTACCTCCTCCTCCTTCTTTTCCTCTCATTCATCATCATTATCTCCTTCCTTCATTCTACTAATTCTACAACTACAACAAATCATGAATCTAAATTTAAATAAATGTATTGAAATAGGAAATATGGCTTTTCAGGTCAGTATTCCACCATTCTGCCTTTGTTCTTTGCACTGACAATATCATCAGGGTATTTAACATCTCAGTGCTAAGGCTTGATCTCCAGAAAAACCTCATTCTACTATTGACACACATCAGTTGGTAGGTTAGCTGTGTTTAACCGCAGCTGCCTGGCAGCATGGAATAAAGCAATAAAACATGGCAGCCTGCAGTGACAAGTGGATCACCAAGATGATTTTTAATTTGGTGATGAGGAATCAGAAGAAAATTGAAATCCAGATTCACTGTACGTAATAAAAAAAAACATTCGTGAATCGTTAGAAATAATAAAACACAAAAAAAGATCCTGTAGTATTAAATAGAGATGAAGGTTTGGCAAATATTTCTGCAAGAATGTGGATTGATCTCCTTCAAATGGTTTAGCGTGAATGTATGAAAAATAACATACAGGTCAATGATCTACTAACAAGCTATAAATACTTTGGCAATTGTCTTGTAATTCATTCCCGAGGATGACGTTGTAACGTCGAAACATGTAGAGTCGTCAACTTTTTGAAGGCCCTAGATAGGCCTAAATAAATTTTTTTTAATTGTGTACCAGTTTAACGTTGAATATTATTTATGATTTTAACTGTTTAACCACTTAGTAAAGGTTTATTGGCACCCCTGGTTGTTGGTTTAGTGTGTTGTTGTTTTGTTCAATTAACATAACTTCCTTTATTTTGTATTTTTGTTTGAAATTACAGTATTTTTAATAGATATACTATGGTTTTTGAGTTGCATTGATGGTAAACATGTAAGAAAAGGAAGGCTTAATCTTACCATATGTTCCAGGTTTAACTACTAGTTTATTTAAAGTGTTCAGAAAACAACAGATATTCTACCCTATATTTAAACCGATAAATAAGATGAATCAAATCTTAGGTACTCCGAAAGACGAAATACATTTAACTGAAAAAACTTGAATATATAAAATAGAATGTGAATGTGGAAGTATTTACATTGGTCAGACAAAACATAATTTAAAATACCGCTTAAATGAGCATAAGGGATATGTAAAAAATAAAAAAACTGAAAATTCATCCATAGCAGAACATGTACAGGAAACACAACACACAATATTATGGAAAAAAAACTGTAATATTAGCTCAACCTAAAAGTGTAATAGGTAATAATATTTGTGAATCGTTAGAAATAATAAAACACAAAAAAGATCATGTAGTATTAAATAGAGATGAAGGCTAATTTTTTCATAACTAGGTTTTAAAGTACTAACTTGCACACCAAGAATCATGTCATACTAAGTCACAAAAAATGTGCGTTTTATAGTTATGTTAACAGTGCTTTGAAGATATGTACTAACCAAAATGATTTCAAAAACAAATTGTTATTAATTAAATATATAGCAGTCGAAAGAGGTTTTAACCCAGATCTTATAGATAGAGCAATTAAGAAATTCACTAATACTATAATAATTGATGGCATAAGAACAGAAAAAAGGTTTCCGGTATACTGATGTTTCTAAATTACCATGTACATTCCTTTTCACCAATACATCTAGAAAAGGCAAACTATTA